CCCCAAAACCCCAAAACCCCAAAACCCCAAAACCCCTTTTGATGAAGAGTAAATAGAATATTTATATCAAACATGGACCCCAATAATCTCATGTTCAATTCTGGGTATGGGTTTGGGCCTAATTGGCTATAGAATTTCAGGTGGAAGTCCAGTAAAGGAAGAAGAAAAGAAACCTACGCCTGACTTGTTTTCAAGTAAAGTTATAGGTGTTATTCTTATTTAGATTTACCTAAAAATGATGAGACTTCTTTGAATAAAGCTAGAGTTCACATGGTTCCTGGTATCAACAATACTGCTGATTTGCTCGTGTAGGCTAAGAATTGTTAATTTCGATAGGAATGGAAAAGATCAGAAGTTTGACAAAGATGCTTTTCAGAGAAAACTTGGTGTTGAAACTCCCAACAATGAAGAGTCTAAAGGCTATCTCACTGGCATCCCTCAGGATGCGAAGTATTTTATATTTATTACAATGTAGAAGCATGACGAGCAATGAGTCCCATCCCTATATGCAATTTCAAAAAGCAGCTGGAGAGAATAATGAGTATTTGCCTCAGATTCCAAATTGGGAAGGAGTTAAAACATTTATCCTGCCAAAAGAATACGCTTTAAGAGAGTTTGATGCAATCCAAGACCACATTGAGAAAGAGTTTAATGAAAGAAATATGAGGAATATCCTTTGTGAGAACCAATATGAATATGCTAAGGTTCACAAATGAAGAAGGTTCAACGAATGACTCTGCAGAGTCTTTGCACGAGATTTACTCCAACTCGCTTACTATAAGAGAGTTGAAAATGTCCACAAATATCTTGAAAGGTAAGGTATCTACTCATAGTATAGGTTCTTTCTTAAGCCCCAAGTGTATTTACCATTTCCAGAGCTATTACTATGGCTTCAGCTCGAAATTGGGAGAAGGAATTTCAAGCAGGCAGAAGCTATTATGAAGAAATATATAGCTTATACAACAAATTTGATCAATGACGAAACTAAAAATGTTGTTTCATTGGAATTAAAGAAAAGCAGTGGACCTAAAGATCCTTGGAAAGCAAAGCCTGAACTGTTAGACCTTTATGAGTCCCAATATTATAAGCTGATTGATGTGTATTTGTTTGATATTCTACTTCCTGACCGTGGATATGACAAAACTAAAGAGATTTTATTGAAAGAAATCGCAATGGAGAAATCTCTCAAGCTAAAGTATCTAGATAAAATCGGAGATTATTATTGCAGCTCTATTAGAGAAACAAGTCTTATTCATGGTACTGAAGCTCTCCAACAACTAAATAAAGCCACTATAAAAGACCAAATGGAGCATAGAGTTGAAGAGATCAAGAATGTAAGTAATGACCAGCAAGGAGATACTGAAGAAGAAGACGAAACAGTCAATCCTTTGTTCCAAAACACATTTAATCGTCAGAGATTCGAAAAATCTAAGAAAAAAGACAGCACTGAAGAGAAGGGTTCATTCTTAGATGTTCTGAGACAGAAAATGAAGGTGACTCCAAAAACATTCATCACAATCCTTTCCCTTGTAATTGCAATCTGGCTCTGGCGAGGAGGCTACAGAAAACTTAGGCAATATAGAATTTTTAAGTTTGCTCTTCTCCATATTTTTGGGATTAAGAGTAAATAATACGTCATTCAATTAATATGATATTAATAGGGGTTTTGGGGTTTTGGGGTTTTGGGGTTTTGGGGTTTTGGGGTTTTGGGGTTTTGGGG